ACCTGTTTTCTGATGCTCAAAATGAACACTGATTGGAAGCAAAAGGAAAAGGAGAGGGGTTAATGATTCATGTGTATATACGTGGCAAAGCCATCACTGAAAATCGAATAACTGTACAAGAATGGTGGGGGTCAGTGGGGTGCCATGATGAGCTTGATTAGTTCCTTGATTAGTCAGGGGAAAAAAAGTCAGCTGAGTCCTCTTGTGGGCCTCCAGTTGGCAATGCTGATTAGGCTAATTTGGTTACTGTCCAAGTTTTTTCTTGGAGGGGAGGATATTATCAAAACTACTGAGGATGGAATAGCCTAGGAGTAGAATAAAGGGGGAGGGTGTAAAACTAGACAGTTGTTTACAAAAGCGTTTCAATTAAGTGCTTGTACAAATCAAATCCCACTACATATAGTGATTACAAATACAGGTTACTTATTTGTAGATTTTCTGAAGTAAAAAGATAACAGTTTGACTTTTTAGCAACTCTGGCTCATTAAGGGAAAATACTGCATTTAAAAACTTAGCAGTCATCTTAATACAAGCATTTTTTCCACAGTTGTTTCTGACACAGTACTACAGGACCAATTCACACTTCAAAATTGTTTTGGTGGAGTGAGAACTGGTTTCGCTCTTACTGGAGCTCATCAGCTGTAGGCAACTGCTCAAGAAACATTTATTTGCCTTAAAGCCAACTATTAATCACCTTGGATTTTATTTCTTAATGAAAGAACTCACACTTGCACAAAATCATTTCCATAGAGAAGCCACATAAATGAAGTGTCTTTAACAACATTTAGTACTATTTCTTATTTTCCTAGAAATCAGCAGTATAAACAAAAAATTCAAGCTTATTCAAGAAACTGCAAATACAAATGAATCCAATCCACAGATACTTGTCAACAGGTTACCAAGCAAGCCTCCCAAAAGTACTAAGTCAGAAATACATTTCCAAACTAGGTATTAATTTGTTCACGAAGTATATATTGAGTATGCATTATGGGCAGGCACTGTTCTATCTGTGTACTGGGAACATGGCAGAGAATAATACACAAATCCCTTACGGAGTTTACATTCTGCAGTGGACCAATATATAAAAGCTCTATGCTATCTTACAACGCTGAAGGACAGTGATTGCAATGGGGTTGGGGGGGACTTGATAATATGGGTGAATGTTGAAACCACAATGTTGCTCATGTAAAACCTTCATATGATTGTATATCAATGATAATTTAATTTTTTAAAAAAGCTCTATACTAAACCTTTTGCTCTTTGTGTTCACAGTATTTTTTTTTTTGAGAGGGCATCTCTCATATTTATTGATCAAATGGTTGTTAACAACAATAAATTTCTGTATAGGGGACTCAATGCACAATCATTAATCAACCCCAAGCCTAATTCTCAACAGTCTCCAATCTTCTGAAGCATAATGTGTTCACAGTATTTTAATTTGAAGGTCTATCAATGTTCCATCAGAAGCTATGTAAGGTATGCATGAGTGTTTTAAGTCCAAGAGAAAAGTTTGACTCAGTTCAGCATAAGTATTATTTATAAAATAAACTACAAATTTTTAAATTGCAAGCTGTACCATTTGAGTATTAAATAATACCAGCTGTATACTTCTCAAAAAACATCCATTAAGGTAATAAGCATTTATAAAAGAGAAAAGATAAGCATGCTGAACCTGTGAGAGCACTCCTGTTCTTCAGTATAATGGTTTACTATCCTTTGAAGGAAAAGTTACATCAAAAGGCTTTTTCATACTCTCCAAACAAACTTTGAAAGCAGCATAAATAGGACAGTAACTTTTCCTGGCCAGTTTTAACAAAGTTCTGATAGGGCAATTAAAGTCAGAAGCAATAAATTAAATTAAAAAAGCATCCATAGTCGAACATAATCTGATTGCAACCCCCAAGTAACTAGCTTTTGATAAATCCTGATAACTTTAAAATACAAACACTTGCCCAGATAAAGTTTTTAAAAATACAATAAAATAACAGAACAGAAAAGAACCTGGGTAAGAAATATGAAAACCTTATTTTGCATGATGAAAATATCTGACACTGAATGAAGGTCATAGATGGTGAATTCATGCAAATCAAATTCTAATTTTAAAAGATTAAAAACTGGGCTGGCTATATCAAAGAACTCTAGTTCTGTCAAAATGAAATATTTTGCAAAGTAATCACACTGAAATTACCTTTTGGGTAAAATTAACTTTAATATATTGAGTTTCCTTATATGAAATATCACTAGATTTTACAAGTTGCCTTTGTCCACCAGTTTAAAAAGCTTATTAGATGAGGCCAAGGTAGTGACTGCTAGGGGTTTGTTTAGCTTTGCACCCAAGACTCAGGGAAGAGTTACTTTTACAGTATATGCATCACATCATAAAAACAAATGTTAAAAGCGCAATAGATGCAGCAGGAGTCCCCACATCCCTGCCCAAGAACAGAACCAAATTCTGTGACAGGATAAATAGGAGAATGAAAAATGATGGTCCATCAAGACCAAGAAAAACAGGGTAAGTGGACAGACCATATAGCACATTATCAAGTTGTATGTCATATTATCAGTTTGGTATCTTAGATCCATGCAATTTTTATATATCTAATAAGTTTTAGAGAAGTTATTACTATAGAAATATTTTTAAACTACTTGTATTAGAACTATCTCAACTTTAATGAGTCTAAGAAAACATGAAAAATATTTTCAGCTAACTTTCCCCCCAAATCTGAAACTGAAAGAAGAAGAAGAAAAAAAAATTTGACCTATGGTTTCCATTTCAAAAAAGGAAGGCTAATGATTTTTTTAAAAATTAAAGTTGTTTCATGTAATTGTAGATTAATGATAGCAAAAATAAAAAATAAAAAATAAAAATTAAAGTTGTAAGTCTATCTTACATTAAGGATTTCTGGTAAATGTTTAAATTTTGAAACCACCTTTGACCTGGGCTTTGTTAATTTGGTACTACGTAGTTTGTCAAAAAATTTAATTATTCATTAGTACTTACTACGTAATTACCCCTACAGAAGACTGTCAGTGCACATGTCTTAATAAAGGAAAATACACTCATAATCCTATCAATACTTTGCTGGGTTTGATTTCTACTTTTGTGTCTACTGCTGCTTCAACTCAGTATTTTTCCTTTTGTTTACCTCCTAGCCCAAATAGATTTTTAAAATCTCAATAGCTGAGAAACAAAGTTCAAAGAAAAAGTTTAAAGTAATGATAATATTAGAGGATTATCTGTAAATTTAGATGATGTATGCTCTCATTGTTGCCCTGAAATGAATATTTAGGGCATATAACATAATAAATAACATTTGCAATATTGTAAGCCCTGTGACATATTTATGAGAAATTAAAAAAACAGCTTTAGTTATTTAAATCTAGACATAAGTGATAAAAGAAAAACTTAAATTTTATTGAAAAAAAAATGACTTCAGGTTAAGTTTTTTCTTTAACGTGAAACTGTTAGATGAACTTGGAAAACCACCAGGACAAGTTACTAGTCTTTCTTCAAAGGTAAAGATGATTTTTCTAAATCTCTAAATAAGGCTGCTTCTACCTATCATTTCTTCCTGAAGAGTCAGTCTACTGCACATGTTTTACCTTTACTGCATGATGTCAGCATGTAGGTGTAAATAGATTTTTTTAAAATTAAATATGCTAAGCAATCATTATCAGCTATGCTGTCATTGTATAGCATCAAAGGACAACTCTTTATGGATGAAGGAAGTAAAAGGTTAAAGACTGGTTACTGTGCTACCACTCCTTACCTCTTAGCAATAATTAGGACTCTGACACTCTATGGAATCTCCACTATTTAAAGCAACTGGTATGTTTATATGTAGGTATTCTGAATTACACAAGGACTTAAAAAGAATAAAATGAATATAAACACAATCCATGCATTTCCAGGGAATAAAAGAGAAAAAACAATATAAACACAAGCCAGACATTTGCTGGTAGATCCTTCAGTAATTATAAAAGCTTGCCTAGTACAATGCAAAAAGGAGTTTAATTCTTTATACTGTAAGACTTATGAATTACCCAATACCTTCACTGAATGTTAAATAACATGAAAAGAGACAAAAAGGAAAAAGAAAAAAGAATTAGGCTAATCGTCAGTATTTTCTGCTTGAGTAATGATGGGTAAAGAACTGAAAAAGAGCCGTACAGAGAACATTATACCTACACAGGAGATGGCTCAAGTTTCACGCTCAATCTCTCTTTAACAATCTTTGCCACAAGCTCAGCACTGCAAATATGACTGTGTAGTTAGTTGGGAAGGCTGAACCCACAACTAGCATACCTAAACACTAAACAGCAGATCTTTTCTTATGAATGATTACCACCACAACTCTTGAAACACTGTTCCCTGGTTTACTGCACATTTTCCTTAGAAAAACTCTCAGCCTATCATTTTGGAAGAAATAAGAGCTGGGCATCAAGGGAACATCTCACACACGGAGAAAACTGCCAAATATACCTGGAACTGTGTATTTTTATACCTGGAACGACATACACTTACTCTACTAATTCTCATAGGTAACAAGAAAACTATTAAGCAAGTCAAACAGGTAGATTCTAATCCAGATGTTCCGATTCCTAAATCCAGGCCTCTTGCCTCTGAACAAAATCAAGATGTGAATATTATCTACGTTATTAAATGGTAAAGAGTTGAGCAAGCTACACCTACACTGTTCCGGATTACTACCAGGTAATATGTAGGAGGACTTTACCATTTTACAAGCTTGACAGAAACACAAATCTGAAATATCCTTACCAGCCACGGTTTATCAAATGCCTTGATGTCGCTGGAGGAAAGGCAACAACAACAAAAGAACAAGAATACTAACCACAAGCCCAAAGAATCGTTTCCTAAGTTACTTAAAAATCACAGCGACAGAAGTATTTCGAAGAGGGTAGAAAGTCGCCTCAACAGTAAACATAAAACACACACACGGTCAACTTGGAGACGAAAACAGAAATGGGCAACCGAACCTATGAAAGACCGCCGAGCAGGTGGGGCTTCGCGGCAGTCAGCCCTGGGGGCCCAGGCAATCGGTCCGATCCGCCGCACCCCGCGCCCCGCTCCGGAAGCGCGGTCCCCGCAAGCCTCGCCAGCCCCTCTCAGCCACCCCATCCCCGCGGCCCGGGGCCAAGGGGGCAGGCAGCGAGAGAAGGAGATCCAGAACTCCAGCCCCCAGCGCTCGCCTCACCCCAACGAGAGGAACCAGCGGGAGCCAACCCGGGACCCGCAGGACGGCGCGGGAGGTGGGCAGCCCCGCCGCGCCCCCACTCCCCGGTCCGCCCTGGTGCCCCTCTGTACTCACCCCACTTCTCCGAGCCTCAGGCGCACCCCTAACGAGGCCGACGAAGCTCCGACTCAGGGACTAACTTATCCATAGCGGGGTCCGGCGGACCAGAAGGTGGAGAAGAGGGCAGCGGTGGAGAACGGGGTCAGCACCGCGCTCCCTCCGGCGGGGACTCACCAAACCCCCGCGGAGCTGACACATCAACAAAGATGGCGGCGACGCTGTGGTCGGCCCCGCTAGAGCTGAGGGGGCGGGGCCCTCGGGAGGAGCCAATCCGCGCAGCGAGAGCGGTGTGACGCAACGGCACCTTGAGGCCAGGGTACCGTGCTGGCCGTGGACTGGGCGCGAGCAGCCCCGGCTCCTGTTACCCGAGCGCCCTGCGGGGCGCCCAAACTCGCGGGGCTTCCAAGGCCAGGCAGACGCGGCGCGCCGGCTCTGCTGCCGACTGCCCTGTCCGGCCCCTCACACCACTCCCTGACCCAAACAGGTTCTTTAATTCTGTAGGACAGGTTTATTGGATATAATCCCTCCTCTCCCTTTGGCCCTTCCTTGTATTAGTCAGAGGCATAAAGCAATAAAAGAATTCGAAATCGTGACTTCCCAGCTCTGATGTGCAAACCTTGCACCTCATGTGGGCGGAGTCAGCTGCAGACTACTTGCGGGTCTGACATTTCATCCCTGGTAGAGAGTGGGGGTTTCCATAACACCGCGTCCGTGAGCACAGTGTGGCTCCTACTGCCATTGTTCAATAATAACCTGTTGGTGTGTTTGTCTCTGGCACCGGACTGGGAGCGCCTTTGGCACGGAAAGTGTTCTCTCCCGGCTGGGTGTCTCAGCACGCAGCGTGGGGTTTGACGTGGCCTGAGCAGCTCAATGATTAGCTATAAAATGTGTATTAGGGGGAGAAAGGGGTATTGAACGTCGTTGCTAACTGGGTCCGGACAAAAAAACAGTTCTGACAAGTCAATGCAAGAATTCGTAAAGTAAAACTTGTTCCTGTTCTGTTAAGCTTCTTTGATACTACTGACAAAAAAAAAAAAAAAAAAAAAAAAAAAAATCACTTAAAAATTACAGTATGTAACTATTCCTCTTTCTTTTCCAACAGGAAATGTAATTTCCCTCAAGTGAAGATATTGCATTAAAACAACTTTTGCAAGGTAAAGTGTGATGATAAAGAGATGATTTGACTTTAAAACAATAAATTGACCAAACATTCCTAGGAAGAGAGAATATTTCAAGGGGAAAAAAAAATTCCAAGGAACATTAAGCTTTTTTTCCAAATTTGTATTGTCCTTAATAACATTCATATTGTTTATTTCTGAAATGTAAAGTACATGACTATGTCTTTGGGAGTCAAGATTTTCAGTATCAAAAGAAATGCACACATTCAATGATATTAAATAAAAATTCTGCAATCCTAAATTTGAATTAGTAATAATATGAATGGATGGTGCGATTTTTTTCATTAAAAAAAAGGTCTGCTGAAAGGTTTAGTAAAATGATAAACCCAATGCACTCCACTATTTTCCAAACTATCATCTCTAAATATAATTACCCAGTATAAGTCACCTGGGCTCCTTTTGGAGAACAAGGGCTTCTAAGTGTAGGGCAGGAAATGTACAAGAAAGCCTAGGACATATTGGTACCAGAAAGCAAAAAAACAAATCCAGATATAATAGTTGTGTTGAAAAGACTTAAGGAGCACCTGCTGATCAAAGATAGGACAATTTTAGCATTCAAAAAATAGTAACAACAGCAATTGATTGAGGTGCAACTACTATGCTAAAAATCAATGAGTACACTGATTTTTTAAACCATCATTGGTCACTTTTGGAGGATGCCAAGGAACCATGTTCTGAAACTAACAACAGCAAAGAATCAAGGATCCTTCCTTTCCTGCTAACAAACCATTCAAGTAGTTGATGTAGTAAAATTCTTCTTTGTTCAAGTTCAGGTAATAAATGAAGAAGAAAAGATACTAGACTGTTACTATTTTGAAAACCCTAATGAAATGATGAAGCTTGGGTAATGATCATCAGTGAGTCTAGAATAATTCAGTGAAAAGCTGTTGGGAAATTTTAGAGTGAATGGCTGAGGCTGACAACACTTTAACCTGCTACACTAGTTTTAGTCTTAAGGAGAGACAACTAGAAGGAAGTCTCTTCTGATGTAATGTAACAGAGGAACAAACCACGCCCTGTGAAGTATTTCTTGTTGGATGGTACCCAATCAACCAAATCAAATGTGAGAAAAACTGCAGCAATTGCAACATGTAAGTTTCAAGAACAGGAAATGATTAAAATAAATCTTTTAAAAACAAATCACTCAATGCACATATGGGTTGTTGTTTGGAACCTGATTTGAACACACCACCTATTAAAAATCATTTGAGACTGGGAGTTCTAAATACTAATTTTATATTAAGAAACTATTTTTATTTTTAAAGACAGGATAAATTTTGACGGTGTTTTTTAAATTATAATCTTAAAGATACCTACTTAAATATCTGGATGAAAAGACACAATGTCCCAGAAAATAAAGTGCTCCAAAAAATAGGTAGATATATATAAAACCCATGGGAGTGTGTCAAAGGAGCATAAGAGCTGCAAGAGTTCTCTGTGGCCAAAGTTGGAAGAATTTGAGCAGTGTAAGACACATTTTTAACCAAAATAAGCAGGCAACGAGAGGCAACAAAGGGCCAGGTAGTTTATTTGAGCGCAATCCCGGGCAAGGCTCACCAGTACGCACCAGGACAAGCTGGAAAGGTTGTGCTCAGCAGGGCAGGCAGCGAGTTTTTAAAGAAGGTAGGGGGAGGCAGAGCTTAGATTTACAGCAGCGCGAGGATTGGCTAGCCTAAGGCACATTTTTCAGGATGGGAGGGGGCAGCAGCCGTGGACTTTGGCACGTCATCAGTGTCCGACGTGCTCACCCCTCCCTCCGGGGCTTCCCACCTTACAATTTTCACAAACCAAAAGTATAAAATAAATACCCATGTGTCCACAGTGATATACAGAGTATATATGATTGAACATATTCATAAATGGCAAAGAGACAAATCTGCCATGTGAAAAAATTCCAAATAATTTCTCTAATAAATCTGCCCTTAAGGAGGGGTAGCATAATTCCCCTTCCTTAGATGTAGATAGGTTGCGCATAATGACTTCTTTCCAAAGCATAAGCTATTAAACAAATGGCAAAAAAGTAACTTTGTAGTAGAGAAAGCTGACAAATGCTAGCCAGGTAATCATGGAAAACAAACTGTCATAAATTATGTTCATAGGGTATATTTGATATGATGCAATACAATTGGCACTTTATCTCCGTTGTCTTCCTTCTAGTAACTCATTGCTGCAGTCTTAGAAAAACGTTAGAAATTCTAACAGTGGCGCATCCTACAAAATGCCTGACAAGTATTCTTGGAAGTTATCAAGGTCACCAAAACAAGGAAAGTCTGTAAAACTACTGTAACTTAAGGTGGCATAACAACTTCAAGTATTCTGAATGGAATCCTCGCCCAGAAAAAGGACCACAGATTGAAAACTAAGGTGATCTAAATTAACTCTGAATTTTAGTAACGATATATCAATATTGCTTCCCTAATTGTAATTAATGAGTCCTAATGTAACATCGATAATAGGGAAAACTGGGTGTATTTTATGGTACTTCTCTGTACTGTCTTCTCCATTTATTATGTAAGTCTGAAATTGTTCTAAAATTTTAAGAGAAAAAAGTGCAAATTGAAATTTGCTTAGAACAATGGGGGAGAGTGGGGTACAGATGAGAACAAGATGGACTGAATTGATAATACTGGGACTGGGCGATGAGTACATTGAGGGGTACCATTTTTCTAGAGAGGTTCTTAGTTTAAGAAAACTAAGAAAAGAAAGACTTTCTTTGAACACCAACATATAATCACGTGCTCAGCCAAGAAAAACAAGTGAGCATGTATACTTAGAATCCAAAACCAGACCAAGGCAGTGGCATCATTAGAAAAACCTTTCATTAAGTGGTTAATGAATCTGATGTGTCTTTCATGGAGACAAGGTCTGCGTCTTTGCACATAAAATTTGTCCTGGAAGATTTCAGGCACACCTTTCTAGGAGGTGTAGAATAGTAGGTACTTTTAAGCTTCCGCAGGGGAACTTCCGGAGCCCCAGCAAGCTGTTACCACCCCTCGAGCACAAACACGGCGCCGCTTGCGCCGGAAGGCGATTTCCGCCCACGCCGGAAGGCGATTTCCGCCTGCCTTCCTCAGCACAAAGGAGGGAAAGGTGCACGTGGGCGTCAAGGGGCCCACGTGGGCGCAGACTGCGCAGGCGCCGCCTGACGTGAGCAGCCAGGCTAGGTTTTGGAGGTGAGGTGAACGTAGGTGGTCCCACTAGGCCGCGGAGTTCCCGGGGTACCGGCAGGACGCCATCACGGCCAGGTTTCAGAGACCGGTTGCGGTCAGCGGCCCTTTCGCCTCTTCCCAGGTAAGGGTTGTGAGGCTCTGGAGGAGCAACATGGACTGCGTGAGGGTTACAGGGCTTCGGTCGTTGGGTACCGGATGTTGGGTGCTGGACGTTGAGGTTGGGCGTTGAGGTCAGACGTTGAGTTGGGCCATGGGAAGTGAAGTGGAAATGAGAGGGTGGAAGGGTGCAGGACACCTTGGCAGGGAAGGGCTGGTCTAGGGTTGGAGGTGTAGGTATAGGGTTTCTGTGCTGGAGGGATGAAGGGCGTGGAAATTGAGCCTGTGGGTAAAGGGGGTTCCTTCAATATTTTTGGAATATAGTTAGAAGTTGCAGGCGTGACTGTAAAATGTGAACGTTCTTTTGCATCCAGTTCAAGGACCTCTTTACCCTTGTCTTTAAAAGAAACGGGATGGTGGATTCAATGCCTTTGTTTAACTCAAGGCTACAATACAAACAACACTGATACTTAGACTTTTTCTGTACCGCCTGCTTCCTATTTTTGGAAAGGGAATATGTGTGCTGGCATTCGCTTAGATAGGGGTAAGCCAGCCCTGGTTCATTTAGCAAGTGGTTACAGTGTCTGCTATGTGCCAATCTCTTTTCTTGGCACGCGCGCCCTTGCTGTAAATATGCCTGCCCTGTTGACCTATGGAGTTAGGAAAGCTCCTTCTACTTCCTTACTGAGCCAACAAGGTGCTGAATGCGAAATTGCACGGTTTAGGAATCTGACCTGGATTTTCAGACAGCTGTGTAAGGGTGCTGGACCTGGGGGTTTGGCAAGTTACTGCATCTTAAGTCTCCCTCATCTCTAGGAAGAAGGATATAGGAATACTATAATCATTATTTCCATCTTTGTGCAAACTAGATCCACATGACTGGGAGAGATTCTTCGCCTGTAGCGGTATAAAAGTAAATAAAATCATAGCTGTCTTCTAAGTACTTAGTAAGCTACTGTACTAGGTATTTACTTGAATTTAATCTTCGTATTGGAGAGTTGAGAAAGTTGCTAATGCTGGCCACGTTTTATAGGATTGAATCGTAGAAAGATGAAGTGATTTGCCCGAGATAGCTTACCTAAATGGGGAAGATGAGACTGCTCAGATTGCCTGTGGCTGACTTTAAGGCTCCTGTTTGCCGAACCAGTGAACTTCATAGTTTTAAAACTGTTTTGAGTAGCCATTGTCTCTGAATGCATGGGATTCTCAGGAAGGTAAAAGGTAAAAGCAAACATTAGAGAGAAAATTACAGACAAGTATCTGCTGACAGCACTTTGGTATTAAAGAATTATCTCCTTGTGGGTTTACTGTAGCCTCTGGGCTATAGTCTCTAGGAAAGGAAGATAAGGACGTGAGCCACTGTTAGTAGTGTGTCTTAGGATGCTCCTGGCTGCAGGGGTGGGGGGAGGGACAGCAGGATACTAAGGGAGTAAAAGAAAGGGTTTGCCCCTTAGGGAGCTTCACATCTCAATTGGGGTCAAAGCAATGAAGCTCAGAACAAAAGGACAATACAAATCCCTGATGTTATTTTTGCTTGGGGGAACTATAGAAGTCTTTTCCATTCCATTGTTCTTTTATTGTATCAGTGATTCCTTTAACGGAAATTTGGGGACCCTTCCAGTTAACCTCTTGTGTTAAGAAACCACTTAACTAATTAATGTAGATTTGATGATGATTATAGATAACATTTTTATTTATCACCAATAGCATGTAAAAAATAGTGGATTGTATGTGGAGGAAACTGCTTGTTTTAAAACTGGATGAGGTCAGCCTATGAGGCATTAAGACTGTTGAAGCGCAGTGTCCATCACTCCTCTGTACCTGTATACCAGAAGTATGCAGCCCAGGGTTGGTAAGCACAGCATCAGGCTTCCACTCCAGATTTAAAATTGTGCAGTGATTGACACAGGAAGGAGCCAAGTAGGGATAAGTGCATATCCTTACGTGTGTTTTAATGTTCCAGTTTAGCCTTAAAAGCCTGTCTGTATCCAGATTGTGGTAGTTAAAGAAATCCAAAACTGTGGATCAAAAGAAAAAAGGCAATTTTATAGGATGATAACTACAAATTTTTTTCTAAGAAGTTAAATTCCAAAAGATTTCAGGTGATTGTAAGTTTTGTGTGTACTCACGGTATACCTGGACCATTGCTGCAAAAGTTAGTGCAGAGATGGAAGGTAGTGTTGAAAGTCCGGGATAGGGTGATCCTCCTATTGATGGACTGTAGGTCCACATCTGGAATCTTGTGCTCAGTTAAGAGAGTCATAGCAATACAAGAATTTCTGATGACCTAGAGAAAGTCCAGAATTGTGTGGAGTCTGAAAGGTGTTATGTCAGCTGGTGAAGGACTTGAAGGAATCTCATGTTGGAAAGATTTTGGTCACAGGGCAGCAACAGGAGTCAGTCATTTGGGAGGAGAACCATTTTACAAAGAATGCAGTACAATTGGCTGTCCCCAGTTAAAAGGAGTCAGAAGCTTCCAGTTAGAGAACAGGTAGATGTCTGCTCTGGGCATTGTAATGAAAATTCCTGAGTAGGGTGAGGCAAGTGAGTGAGGTGTCCTGCCAAAGCTAAATACTCCACCCTAGGTGGAACTTCCTTAAAGCTTAAATCCTTTTTATTTGCTGCTTAAATTTGTATATTATGTCTAATAAGATTGATTCTGTTGTTCCTAAAGTCAAATATAATTTTTGGACTTGGGAAGAGGTGATGGTAAGACACAAAGCTTTGCTGTTAAATTTCAATAAACCTCATAGCATGATGTAATTCTTCATTTAAGACTGCCAGGTGTAATTTCAGACAGTGAGTTTCATTTTCCCTATCCAGGTTGTCATGAAAACAGTGCATTAATGCATTTTACATAGTTTTATCATGTGAGTGTCTTTTGGATGCCTCACCATGTGCAAACCATGGTAGATGCTCTGAAGTCAGATTTTGGTTAATTTTTAAAATAAGACATGGTTCCTGCATTCAAGCAATTTAAAATAATCTAGAAGGCAGACATAATTGTCTGTAGGTATTTAATACAGGGTAGTAAGGAACTGACTATGGATTGACGGTCATCCTTACTACACAGGCACAAAGGAAAGGCTATTCAGAAGTTACATGCTGCATATCCACTGGTATCTTCAGAGGATGACAATATCCTAGTTTTGTGGTTTAAGTATTACTGTGATCCTTTAGAACAAAGTTTACTATGCAATGATAATACTTAAAAGTCTTTTTTTCTATAAAAGTAATTCATCAAATATAATTTGGAAAATGAAAAAGAGGAAAAGATTCCTTTATCAACCAGCCTACCCCAGAACACACATTGTTACTTAAAATTTAATGTATTTCAGCTTTTTTATATGGAGGTTTTCTTTTTTGCAGTTATATTGATTATAGTGTTTCTCTGATTTTTCATTTGCTGTTCTAGCAGACATCTTAATGTTTTTGCGTACTACAATTTTAATTGGTGTAATATTCTATCTAGAATAGAGGCATCACAGCTATCTTTTTCTTTTTTGGGTATTTTAAATGTTTAGGATTTTTTGATGTTTAGGATTATTTTAATGGGATGATTTCTAGAAGTAGTTACCATGTTAAGTGGCTAGGAACATTTTAAAGGATATCTATCTCCAAATTATATCCCTGAAAGAGCATATTAAATTCCCTGCAGTATGAGTGTCCTTTTTAATTGCACCCATGCTATGCAGAAAATAATACATAGTTACTTAATTTTGACTTTTTTTAGTTATAATTGAGGTTAAACATTTTCCTTCAACATTCATCAACTAATCGTCATCCTTTATGTACCGTGTTCAGTGCTTTTTGGTGTCTGTATAGATTGGGCTGCAAATAACAAAGTCCATGGATTTGTTTGTCTGATGTCAGCAGCCTGTGCACAGACAGATGAAGGTTGGTGTGACAACCCTAGGATACCACCAGGGACACGAGGCTCTTTGCGTTTTTGTCACCATCTGTAGGGTGTGCTTTCTTCTCTTTGCTTATTGCTTCTTGATTGCAACATGGGTAATAATATCTTTAGGCTTCAGGTCCACATTGCAGGAAGAAAGGGGAGAAGGACCCTGCTAGCCAGATGGGTATCAGGAAGGGACACAGTTTTCTGAGAAGCTCCACTCAGAAGAACCCTGATTTATAGACAATATTGTCTCTAACTCAAGCAGGCAAATCAGAGGTAGAAGGCAGTGTTTGGTCAGACAACTGCAGTGTCTTTTTCAGTATCTGGGTGTTTATACTATTTATCCCAGTTTTTGAAAGGTTTTGAAGCTGTCATCTCTCTGTGAATACTGACTTCCTGGCCTCTTTATTCTTTGTAAGTTTTTAATTGTTCCTATAGCTTTGTTTGTTGTCACTTCTTTGTGATGTTTAATTCCTTTTTCCTTTTGAACTAAAAGGAAAAAGCAAAAATGAAATTCTTCCCTTCTGGTGTGGTGTGCCTCTTGCAGGCTAATTATCTGAGCAGTAAAATCTGAGGTGGGGATCTGTATGCTGTGGTGAGTGAATGTGGCCTGTTATGATACCAGGTTTTTTTGAGTTAGTTGAAGTGAACATAGGTCAGTAATATGCTCAAAGTTCGAAAAATGAATGTTCTCACATGTAATGTTTTGGTACCTTTTAGATTAAGTTTATTGTGTTATTATAATATTACTGCTTTTTTCTGTCTGCTGACTAGTGTCTAAGGCAGATGTGTCCTTGTCATGGCCTGAATTTCTCCTCTAGCTTTTACTTTACACCTCTTAAACCAACATTATTGTGATTCAGAGGTTCTGGCTGTTCTCTCTCCTTGGAGTTTTTTTTATCAGTGTAAAATATCTTTCTTTGTCCTGATATTTTCTACCTTGACTTTTGTTTTATGTGCTATTAGTATTAGCATTCCATCTTTATATTGGTTACATAGCATGTTTTATTCTTTTTATTTTCAGCCTTATCCTATAATTTTGTTTTATGTGTTCTTTTCGTGTATACATCTTATCTAGCTGGATGTTTTTGTCCCTGGAACTTTTTTTTTTTGCCTCTTTTTCACTAAATCATTGATACTTAAATTGCTTGGGCTTGGTTCTGTCATCTAATTGAATTTTCTATTTACCATGCTTATTGTTTTTGTTGTTGGATTGAGATTTTATGTCTTCTTGATTTGAAAGTTAAACATTGTTTCTATTATTCTGATAGTTGCCCTAATATTTTAATGCACGTTCTTTAAATTTCTTACAGAGTCTAGAGTTACTCATGATTAAAGTCTCCACCCAATTCCTCCTGGAAGTTAGTTTCCTGTTGAAATTTCACTGTTTTCTTACTGCATCCAGCCTTGTAGTTCTCAGTCTGATCCTTTAATTGAGGTGTACCTTCCCTGGAGGCTGTAGGAGCTCCCACCGGAGCTGCCCATCTGCAGGACTTCTGTTAGGCATTATCCCAGGACCTGATCCACTAAGAGTTCCCTGCCTTTGAGTGTGCCCCTGTATTTCTTTATTACTACTTCATCATCATCTCCATATTGTTGTTGGATTAAGGTAAGTCTAATTTAAAGCAAGAAATGAAATGGAAGCTTTAGGAGGATTTTTCTGCTACTTACCTTGTATTTAAAACATACCAGTTTCAGCTGTGTGTGTGTGTGTGTGTGTGTGTGTGTGTGTGTGTGTGTGCGCGCACACATTTGCCTACAGTCTACAGACAACGCTGTAGGTCACTACTTCAAAATGAAGAGTTGTTTGTCTTCTTTTTTATAACGTCCCCTGGGCGGGACAAGATATTCTATAAGAATAATAGGAAAACAACAAGCCAACCTAATGTCTGGATAAAGGTTTCCAAGAGGCACTTTTCAGCAATATGTGTACTTTATTTTCAGAGAAAGGTGCACACATGTAAGTCATTGAATATAGTAAATACAAGTTAAAATTTATGGAAACTCAGCTGGAGATTATCAAAGCAGAGGACTTGGGAAAAGAGACTTAAATGGGGGTCAGCAGAGGCAAATTTTGAAGGGTGACTTAGGAGAAAAAGTTCAACAGGCAGATGGCCGAGCCAAGGTGTTCTGGGTACAGGGTTCAGTGTATTCAAAGACATGGCAGAGCATAAAGTAGGAGAGGGTAGAGGGATTCTGAGAGATTTCAGTGGTAGGTGATGATGCAGTTTAAACACTATTGCCTATTGTATTTCACTGTTAGGTTTTATGCTCTAAATTGGAAATACTTCTTTTAAAACTTTGCCTGTTGTCTGAAAAGTTTTTTAATGCTGTCAAACTCAGATTATTCTTTTGATGTCCCATGAGTTAGTCTTTCCCCTGTTGTTGAATGCTGCTAAACTTGGAGTTTGTACTTTAATGGATAGAGAGTCATTGTATTTTTGTAACTGTAGGCTGGGCTTTGATTCCACGGTTACCTCTGCTTTTGAATCATTCATGAGAGTTGTTATATAAATAGAAATCACCTGGCCTGCAGTGCGTCTACTTTTTTAATTAAAAGTTGACTTTTAAATACATTTCTTTCCTTAGACTTCTGTGAATGTTAAATTGCCACTTAATAGGATATCAAGAAATAATTTGGAGGCATCTACCTGTAAAATGACGGAGCCATTTAATTTTGAGAAAAACAAAAGCAAGCTTCCACCACGTGATTCTTTAAGAAGTCCTGGAGGACATCCTAACCACCCTAATTTCAGGTTGAAAAGCCCAGAGAATGGAAATCAAAAGAACAGTTTTTTGCTTTGTGAGCAGACCAAACAGTATCCGGCTAATCAGGAAGACAATTCAGTTTCTTCAAACCCTAACAGCATCAGTGGAGAAGGGGTTGGAGCCAAAAGAGACAGGAAGACATTGCCTACAGGTGAGTGAGAGACTCACCTTCTTGAACCTGATGGTTTCTTTGACTTATCACAAGTACACACTGGTGGGCTCTTAACGACCAAATCTCTACCTTACAGTATTTCTATTTAAATATTAATTTAGAAGGAAAATCTGATGTCAGGTAGTGACCTTTAGCTGGGTTAATGACAAAGAATTCCAGCAGAGAGAATATGTACAGATGAGCCTTGCCCCCACACCCCCACACTCACATTCAGAGAACTCTAGTAGGAATGTAGATAAAGAACACCCTGGGTTTTTGTGGATGTTCTAAAAACTGGCCATGTTATAAAAATATGCAAATTTTATACAGGTGCTAGCTCATAAGATACGTCTACGACATTAACTTGTTTCATTTGATTAAAAAAAATAATTCCTTTAGTCCTAATTCTAAAAACTTGCTTTTAAAGTAGACTGGGCCCTGATAGAATTAAGCCTCTGAGAATATATGTGAGATGTGGTCTTTTAATATTATGTTGATGTAGTTCTCAAGAGCTTGTCCCTTGGGCCTCGGGGATTACCTAAGAGGTCAAAACTGTCTTCCTAATATTAAAGCATTATTTGTCTTTTTCGCTCTGCTGACTTTACACGATGGTGCAAAAGCAAAGGTGAGTAAACTTCTAAAGCCTTATTAAGTTCATCTTTGGCAGGGCAACAGCCTGGGCTGCTGGCCTCTGAGTTTTTTGTTGCTCTGCACTTGTAGTATGACAGAAAAATAAAGCCAGAAATGCCAATTTTATTTAAGAATGTCCTTGATGAAGTGGTAAAAATTACTAATAAACGATTTTGGGGTACCGGTATTTTTAGTATTTTGTAACAAAATGGAAATTACCCCAACATGCGCTGCACACTCAAGTACAAAAAGCCACGTGTGTGATTGAGTTACGAGCTGAATGGAAACTGCCTTGGAACATCATCTTTGCTTGAAAAGAATGACAAACCATGGTTATTCTGACTTCAATATATAGCAAGTCATTTTCTCAGAAATGAACAAGGTGAACATGTTATTTCAAGGAAAAGAGCTGACAGAATTTTGTTGCTGTGGATAAAATGAGAGTTCCTGTGGCCAGGATTCTCACCTGCCTGTGGTTGACCAGCTCACTGCACACCTGTGGGCACTACAGGGCTGTTGACTCTATAAAAAGCTCCACCCAGTGCTCTGGGCACAACTCGGTGGCAGGGCTGAAAGGCTGCAGGAGAGCAGAGCAGAGGCTAGAGTGGTGGCAGCACTGAGGACAGAGGCCCAGAGGACGGCTGTGCGGGACAACTGTGCAGAGAGGCCCAGAGGATGGCTGTGTGGGACGGCTGTGCAGAGAGGCCCAGAGGATGGCTCTGTGGGATAGCTGTGCAGAGAGGCCCAGAGGATGGCTCTGTGGGACGGCTGTACAGAGAGGCCCAGAGGATGGCTCTGTGGCACAGCTGTGCAGAGAGGCCTGGAGGATGGCTCTGTGGCACGGCTGTGCGGACAGAGGGGCCCAGAGGCAGAGACTGGCTTACTGCATACAGACTAGCTTTAAGTGAATGGGGTTTTAGTGACTGACCTGCCACCTGGAAATAAAGTTGGGTATAACCTTTTCACCCCAAAGGATGTTTTGCTGTCAATTTTCTTTGGTCACACTGAACCTATAGCGAATTTGCCTGGGGCCAAACCCCATTGGCAAGACAATTGGCGAAAGTCAGCAGGGTTCAGTGTTGACCAAGGAAGAAGACACGCTGCCCTTATGGAAGGGGTGCTTCAGTGGACTCCTCCTGTGAATGGGGAGACAGTGGATTTTCCCCAATGGGTATGTGGTCTGAGGTGGCTTGCCCCCTCAGAGGACTGGGGCCCACCCCAGGACTGGAGGCAAGTGGAGGTGACACCTGAGGTAGTAGGGGTGGCTCTTGATATAGTAAGCAGATCCTTTGAGAAGTAGGGTGCCCGGGAGGCAGTGGGGACTGTGGGTCGGCCGCTTCTCACAGTATTAAAAGTCTACAGAGGAGATCCAAGAAATGGCGGTGCAAGAACGCGAGCTGCAAACTTCAGTAGATTCCCTGAGGAGGTAAATGGCCTTGATGTGGGAGGACGTGGCACGAGGACATGAACTGCAGACTTCTGTGGATGCCCTGAGGAGGGAAGTGGTATTGCTGCGGGAGGAGCGGCACCAGAATGCGAGCTGCAAACCTTTGTGGATTCCCTGAGGATGGAGATGGCCTTGATGCAGGAGGATGCAGCCCAAGAGCGCTGGCAGCAAGGTGCCATTGGAGATGAGACAGCAGCGCTGCCAGGTGTTCTGAAGGAGGAAGAGGCCATCAAGGAAAAGAACGCACTCCTGAAGGAAGCACAGGCGGAGGTGGCACGAGAATATCAGCTGCGAAGCATTGAGCTAAAGGGGAGAGACCTTTTGAAGACTGAGCTGGCATTGCTGCGAGGCACTGTAGTAGAGGAGGCACTTGGGGGAGTGGAGAGAAAGGTGCCATCAGCCCCAGAAATGGAGGAGCTGGGGAAGGATGAAGGGGCGGTGCCGGAGGCACTGGCCCCTCCTGTATTGAAAGCACGCCCAGTGGTTGTAAAGAAAATAGACCCAGCAGCTGAAAGTTCCCCAAGGAGAGGAGCAGCCCCCTCCCCAGGTTGTGGAGCACTCTATGCTCCACCCCTGTACTCAGGCTGAGCCGGTGGCTGTGGGACTTAGGGGTGGATGGAATTGTTCTGTTGGGATCAGAGATGGGAAAGCTGTCTTCCCTGACAGTGCAGCCCGCCTTGAGGCAACGATTACAAAATGCCAGGCGACACGTACAATAGCTGAAGCAACAAGAACCCGGAAAGATATAAGACCTGTAAATAACAGGAGGAATTTGAGGGGCCCTGGGAGGGTTATGAGGACCCAGATGTGGGTTGATTTAATACAGGCAGGAGTAGATGGAAAGAAATTAGATGGAAAGTCCAATAGGACCTTACTGGAGCTATGGCAACAGCTGAAACCAGAGCAGCAGTTCCAGCCATTAAGACCAAAGAGGCAGAGGTCAGAGACAGAGCCACGAGTCCGGCCTGTGTGTCTGCAAGACTTTTTGCTGGAGAGGCTGGAGAACAATGTTCAGGCTTCCTTGCACAGGGACCATTGCAGAGGACTAAGGGCACATAGATTGAGAGGAAAGAATCCTGGAGGGGTGGAGTGTGGATAAAATGAGAGTTCCTGTGGCCAGAATTCTCACCTGGCTGTGGTTGACTACCTCACTGCACACCTGTGGGCACTACATGGCTGTTACTCTGTAAAAAGAGCTCTGCCTGGTGCTGTGGGTGCAACATGGTGGCAGGGCTGAAAGGCTGCAGGAGAGCAGAGCAGAGGCTGGAGTGGTGGCAGCACTGAGGACAGAGGCCCAGAGGACGGCTGTGTGGGACGGCTGTGCAGAGAGGCCCAGAGGATGGCTCTGTGGGACGGCTGTGCAGAGAGGCCCAGAGGACAGCTGTGCGGACAAAGGGGCCCAGAGGCAGAGACCAGCTTGCTGCATACAGACTAGCTCTGAGTGAATGGGATTTTAGTGACTGACCTGCCACCTGGAAATAAAGTTGGGTATAACCCTTTCACCCCAAAGGACGTTTTGCTGTCAATTTTCTTTGGTCACACTGAATCCATAGCGAACTTGCCTTTGGCTGAAACCCATTGGCAAGACAGTTGCTAATGATAAAATTCAAGCTTTCAAGCAGAAATGAGGATTTCAGGAAACTTACATCTGACGCCCTGAGCTTGACAGCTTCCCAGTATTTAAAATACTTTTCTGGTGAGATGCAAGGTGATATTAACAAATGATTAATTTATTTTTTGGATGTTGTGTAGTGAAGAGTCTCGATGTTTGGGAGATCTGCATAACCCAGAATTTCTCAGTCTTTTTCAGATGCCCAATTCATGATGTTACAGTCATGCAGTGGCTAAAAAATCCATTCAAAATGCAAGATAAATCAATGGATTCTAATGTAACAATATGAAAAGTTTAATGCGGTTTCAAATTTCACATTATAACAAGCCCTTAAAATACCAGTTTGGGTTTATTTAGTGTGATAATTAAAGGAAAACAGCCACAATAATCTGCAAAAGCCATCTGGTTTTTGCAACCACATATCTGTGTGAGGCTGCATTTTCTTCATATACTTCAACCGAAGCAACACATCACAACAGATTGAATACAAAAACAGATAGGCAAGTCCAATTATCATTGGTTAAGCCAAACATAAAAGAGATGTGCAAAAATATAAAACCATACCACTCTTTACAGTTTTTTTGCTTTTGAAAATAGTTTTTTTAAACATGTCCGTAGATAATGTAGTTCTATTTTAAAATATTTTTACATTCTTTTAATTTCTTATGCTAGTATTAGAATTTCTAATACTTAATTTTAATTACTAACAGTAGTAAATATTGATAGATATAAGCCACATAAATAAAGCTCTTTGAGGGTCCTCAGTAATTAAGCATGTAAATGATTCCAGAGTTTAAAAAGTCTGACTTTAGTGATTAAAGTTCACAGAGAAGTCAAGGAAATTCCAGACAAATTTTATTTTTCATTAATACTAGGATGTTGCTTATTTATACTGTGGCTTTTTTATTTTTAAGTCTGTTATGGTACAGCTTTATTTGAATTTTATCTTGTCACAGTATTGTATATTTTCAGGAGGAAAAGTAATACTTGGCGTTTACTAGGCATTATGTTTTTCTTCCCCAGGAAACTCAGTGTCACCATTAAATGTTGGAAATGATTCACCACCCAAAGAAGTAAATAGTGTAAGTTACAGAGTGTTTTGTTTTGTTTTTTCATTTTGTGTTTTTGTTTGGGTAAAAGATTCTAAGCATATATTTGTATTGTATTAATAAAGAATTATTCAATCTGCAGGTAGTATTCAAGGTCAAATTTCCTTCACCTAGTACCTTTAAAAAAAAAATTCAACTTCTTTTAGGTAATTATAGATTGATATACAACTGTAAGAAATAATAGATCTTGTGTTGCACTTACCCAGTTTTTCCCTGTGGTAACATGCTGCAGAACTATAAGAGAATATCATAATCAGAATATTGATAATCAAGATACAGAACATTTCCATCACTCCAAGGACCCCTTCTATACCTTTTTGTGGCCATATCCATTCATTTCACTTCTCTCCTGCCCCATCCCCCTTTAAACTCTGGCAACCACTAATCTAATACATATTTCCAGTTTTGTCATAAATGGAGTCACATAGTATGTAACCTTTTGGGATTGGATTTTTTTCACCCAATGGAGATTCATCTAGTTTGTTGTATCAATAGGTAGAGTCTTTCCATTGCTAGTATTTCATGGCTTGTTTAATCATTCACCCGTTCAAGTATATCTGAATTGTCTCCAATTTTTGGCTGTTACAATTAAAACTGCTATAAAAATTCATGTGCAAGGTTTTATGTGAACATAAGTTGCACCCACCCACTCTAGGATAAATGCCTAGGAGTGCAATTTCTGGGTCATACAGTAGTTGCCTATTTAGTTTTCTAAGATGCCAAAGTGTTTTCCAAAGTGGCTACATCATTTTATGTTATCCCCAAGAGTATATGAGTGATCCAGTCCCTCTGCATCCAACATCTGTACCAGCATTTGGTTGTGTTAGTATTTTTATTTTCTCCATTATCATAGATGTGCAGTTGTAATTTGTCTTCCCTTAATGGCTAATGAAAAGCAGCTTTTCATGTGCATATTTGCCATGTGTATTTCCTTTCTGGTGCAACATTTCTTCATGTCTTCTCTTCATTTTCTAAATCAGAAAATTGGATGGTTTGGTTTTTTACTGATGAATTTTGATAACTCTTTATATATTCCCAATTTGAGGAAATAGTTCATGTAATTTTCAGCTTACAAGTCCTTACTAGTCCTTTGTCAAGTATGTGATTCATAAATACTTTCTCCCGGGCTGTAGCTTGTTCTTTTCATTATCTTAACAGGATGTTTACAGAGCAAAATTTTAAACTTTAATGAAGTCCTGGTCTGTTTTTCCTTCTATGGAGTATGCTTTCTGTGTCCACTCTTTAGATCCAGAAAAATCTCTTTTTCCTCAAAAAGTTTTAGTTTTACATTTAAATTTTTGATCCTTTTTGAGTTAACTTTAAGTTATGAGACTTAGTTTGAAGTACATTTTTTTTTTTTTGCCTAGAGATGTGCATTTGCTTCACCATTTGTTGAAAATGCTCTTTCTTCCACTGAATTGCTTTTATACATCCATCAGAAATTAGTTGGATTAATGTGTGTGGGTCTAATCTGAATTACCTGTTCTTTTTCAATCTATGGCTCTATGCCTCCAGCAATACCACACAGTACTAGAGCTATATAATAAATTTTGAAATTGGATTAGAGTGAATAGTCCTGAATAAAAGATTTGAGTAAGTCTTAGAGTGATTCCTCCCAGTTTTTCTTTTTCAAAATTGTTTTAGCTAGTCTAATTTCTTTCCCTTCCAATGCACACTTCTAGAGTAATCGTGCCCATATCTGCAATGTGAGATTTTGATATGATTTGTGTGAAATCCTGTAAATCAATTTGAGGGTCATTGGTATTTTTGCTCTTGAATCTTCCAGTACATGAACACAGTCTGTCTATTGTAGATCTTTGATTTTTTCCCACCTTGTAGTTTTCAGGTTACAAGTCTTGTGCATGTTTTGTTAGATTTACACCTAAGAATTCTTTTGAGTGATTGTTAAGTGTTACTGTATTTTTCATTTACACGTGTCTTCATGTTCATTGCTAATGTATGTAGATTCACTGCTAATATATAAAATGTATGTAAAGTTTGCTCTGTCCTTGTTGATTTTGCATGTTTATCTTGGATTAGCTTGTGAGCTTGCTGAAATCACTTACCCTAGAAAGTATTTTTTTGTAGATTCTTTGGGATTTTCTACACAATTATGTCATCAGCAAATAAAGACAGTTTTATTTCTTCTTTTTTAATATATTATTTTAAATTTATTTTCTTGGCCTTACTGCACTGGCTAGAACTTATAGCACAAGAGTAATAACTGGACATTTTGCTTTGTTTCTAAATTTGGGACAACATTGAGTCTTTGACTATTAAGTATGTTAGCTATAGAATTTTGTACATGATATTTATCAAGTTCATGAATTTCTCTATTCCTACTTTTCTTACAATTTTTATCATGAATAGGTGTTGAATTTTTTAAGCTTTTTCTTCATTGATATACTGTTTTTTTTCCTTTACCCTGTTAATTTGGCATATTACATTGATTGATTGTTTAAAAAAATAACCAGACTTGCCTCCCCAGCAGGGGAATAAACCCTTGTTTGGTCATGATGAATAATAATTTTTATATATTGCTGAATTATATCTGGTATTAAACATTTGGTAGTATTATTCAGTAAAAAATCATCTGGGTCTGGGGATTTCTTTTTTGGGAATTTAAAAACTATGATTCAATTTCCTTAATATTTATAGGGTTATTCAAATTATTTCATACTGTGATAATTTGTGATTTTTGAGGAATTGGTCCATATCTGTAAGTGTATCAATTTGAGGATCCATTGGTATGATCCCAGAGATGAAATATTCCATTATTATCTTTTTTCTTATATTGAAGTATTACTGATACACAGACTTATATGTGTTTCAGGTATACAAAACAGTGGTGCAGCAGTTACCAACATTATTCATTATTACATTCTCACCCCAACTAGTATAGTTGCTATCTGCCACATAGGAAGATATTACAGAATCACTGGCTATATTCTCCATGCTATGCTGCCATCCCTGTGACCAACTTGTATAATGATCGGGAATTTTTGTGCCCCTTTATGCCCCCTCCCTCCACACCCACCCCCCCTGACCCCTGCCCCATGGTAACCACCAGTCACTTCTAAGTGGCTATGAGTTTACTGCAGTTTTGTTCTGTTTTGTTTTTAGATTCCACAGGTGAGTGAAATCATATGATATGTCTTTCTCCACCTTATCATTTAGTATAATACCCTCTGGTCCATCCATCTTGTCACAAATGGCAGGATTTCTTTCTTTTTTATGGATGAAAATTCCATTGTGTATATGTACCACATCTTCTTTATCCATTCGTCTATTGATAGACCCTTGGTTGCTTCCTTATCTTACCTATTGTAAATAATATGCCAGTAAACATATGCCAGGGGTGCATAAATCTTTTATAGAGTCAGGGATTTTGTTGTCTTTGGGTGAATTCCCAAAAGTGAAATTACTAGGTGGTATGGTATTTCTATTTTTAATTTTTTTGAGGAACCTCCATACCTGCTTCCCACAATGACTTCACCAATTTGCATTCCCACCAACAGTGTATGCAGGTTCCCTTTCCACATCCTTGCCAACACTTGTTATTTCTTGTCTTTGGATAATAGCCATTGTGACTTGGTGTGAGGTGATATTTCATTGTGGTTTTTGTCTTGCATTTTTCTCTGATGATTAGCAGTGTGGAGCATCTTTTCCTGTGACTGTTGGCCATCTGTATGTTTTCTTCAGAAAAATGTTCAGGTCCTCTGCCCATTTTTAATTAGGTTATTTGTGTTTTTTTGGTGTTGAGTCCTATGAGTTCTTAATGTATTTTGGATGTTAACCCCTTACTGGATAAATTGTTTATGAATATGTTCTCCCACTCTGTAGGTTGCCTTTTTGTTCTGTTGATCATTGTCATCATTTTTGTCTTAAGGGTCTGTGGTAACATATCCTTGATTTCATTCTTGGTTTTGGTAATTTGTCTTTATTGTCCTCGTTATGAGTTTTGCTAGAGGTTTGTCAATATTCTTGATCTTTTCAAGGAACTGGATGCTTGTTTCATTGATTTTTTTTTTCCTTCAGGTTTTTAATTTCATTGACTTCTGCTTTTATCTTTATTGCTTCCTTCCTTCTGCTTGCTTTGGGCATGTTTTCTTATTTTTTAAGCTTCTTGAGATGGACACTTAGGTTACTGATTTGAGACTTTTCCTCTTTTCTAAAGTGTGAAAGCCCTTGAATGTGATTTCTGTTGTTGAGTAGAATGGTATATAAATATCTTAAGCATGTTGGTTGATAGTGATGTTGAGTTCTGTATTCTGGCTGATTTTCTGTGTGTAGTTCAATTAAGTTTTGAGAAGGGGTATTAAAATCTGTTAATTATAATTACATATTTTCTGTCTCTTTTCAGTTTGGTTTTTTTTCACACATTTTTCAGCTCTGTTGTTTGGTGCATACACACTTAGGAGTATTACGTCTTCTTGTTGGATTGACCCTGTTGTCATCATATTAGGTCCTGTTCAGCATCTGGTAATTTTCTTTGCTCTGAAACCCACTTTATCTGATATGAGTATGGCCATTTGGAATTTCTTTTGCAATGGTTACATGATGTTTATCTTCCTATCTTCTTACTTTTGGCCTGTGTATATTGTTACACTGAAAGGAGTTTCTTATAGTCACATGTATTTATATCTACTCTGTCAGTATGTCTGAATTGGTTTATTTAGACTATTTGCATTTAATATAATTACTGGAAGTTGAGGATAATTTTCTGTTTTCTGTTTTCTTTTTCCTGCCTTCTTCTAAGTTACTTGAATACTTTCTGTAAGCCTGTTTTGACTTACCTGTAGTGTTTTGAGTACATTCTTTGCATGACTTCTTTATTGGTTGTACTAGGTATTAAATTTATCCAAAGGGAGACTCTGTAGCAATGACGTGCCAGCTCCCTGCTCTGTTGGCCTTGCTGATACCGCCTCTGAGGGGGAAGGTACCTCCTATAGCGTGGTGAAGGTAGACGTCTCGGCTCTTCACTCTGCCTTTGTGGGTGGGACCTCAATTTTATTTGTGATGTTTGCCTGGAATAGAGCTGTTACTGATAAAAATTTTCTGTCTTGTTGGTCTGTGCCCTTCCTGATCTTTTTGCTAGAGACAGCAGGCTTTTTCTTGGGGCATTTATTGTTTGTGCCTTTTGATGTTTCTGGGTTTGCCAGCTTCTCCAACATCCTGTCTGGAATATGTGAGGGAAAAAGAAGACTCAGGGAACTCATTGCCATGTCCTTCTCTGTGTCCCAAGTTTCCTAGCCTGGCTTCTGCCTTCTTTCAGAGTTGCTTTATGGTCGTGTTACATATAAGACCAGGGTTTTTAGTTATATTTTAAAGGGAACAAGAGAGAAAAGCACATCTACTTTATCTTCCTAGAAAAAGAAATCCCAAGTCTAGTACTTAAAAAAGAAAAAATTATTACCAAGTTTTAATATAGTTACTCTTTTTTTCTGAATAGGAGCCTAGCAGTAATGTGCCTCCTGAAGAGTCAAAAAAAAAAAAAAGTAACGTGGTTGAGAATTTCTTGTCCGTAAATAATCCAGAGCTCTTCAACTCCTTACGACCTCGTCTTCAGTCAACGACTTGCCATCGCTGTGGGCTCTTTGGTAAGCATATTGCTCTCAGATGTCTGTTGGATTATTCTACACATATGAAAAATACTTTTATTACACAAAACTGAAAACATATGAAGAATAAACAGAATAGTATATATCCACCATATACCTGTGTCTCAACTTGAAGAGCTACTTCATCCATATTTTGTCACTCTCACTAGTTCTTTACTTTTATAGTCGTCTTTATGAGGTAAAACTTAAATGCATCAACATGCACAAACTGATACCCCTGTCAAAGAACAAGAGTATTTCCATCTTCTCTGAAAACTCCATATGTCCCTTTTCTGTCAGTATTTCCCTTAGAAGCAGCCACTGTTGTTTTTTCTATAAGTTAATTTTTCCAGTGTTTCATATTGATGGAATCATACAGTCTGGACCGTTGTGTGTAAAGTTTTCATTTAGAATAATATTTTTGAGATTATGTTCTTGCATGTGCATTAATTATTTTTTGTTTCTTGCTGAGTGATATTTCATTGTATGATTATGTCACAGTTTATGTGGGGTTTTTTTGTTGTTGAACATTTCACTTGTTGGCTATTAGATTAGAGCTCTCTACACAGTTTTACACAAGTCTGTGTGTGAACTTATGTTTCCATTTTCTTGGCTAATATATGTCAGAGTAGAATTGTTGGATAAAAGGGTAGTTATGTTTAACTTTATAAGAAACAAGCAAACCCTTTTGCTGAGTTGTCCTGCTTTACATTCCCGCTGGCAGTGAGTCCTAGTTGTTTCCCCTTCTTTGTGAATGTTTGGTGTTGCCGGTCTTTTTAGTTTCAGCCCTTCTCATGTTGTGAAGTGGCATCTCACCGTGGTTTTAGTTTGTATTTCCCTCATTGCCAGTGATCTTGAGCATTTTCCATGTGCTTCCTGCTTTTTTTTTTTTTTCTATTACATTTAGAGTGTAGGCGTTTAGGGCCAGCCTGGTTTTGTTGTTGTTTATGTGTTTTTTAGATAACTTTTTTTTTTTCTGCCTGGATTCTGATAGGATATTTGTAATACTTTATTTTCAAACACTTCCCTGGTTTTTCTTGGTGTGATTCTCTTAATTTTTGTTTAGTATTTTTTAAAGGCACAAGGTAAGCCGTGTCAGAGTCTATGCACAAATCTGTTCTCAGCATCACAAATTTACTTTTTCCTTTGATTGTTCATGTGTTCGTGTTCTGGGCTCTACTTTACGGAAGTCAGTTACGTTTTCAGTCCTTCCTCTCATTTCCTGCTTTGTACTCCTCTTTATATGCATTTTGAGGGAACTTTGGAAGTTTTATGTTAACATCTAATCATGGACAGCATAATCCTCTTCAAATAATCTTGGTGTGACTAAGAGAATGGTGTTTGATGTGTCTGGTCTTGGAAAATGTTTTGCTTTTGGCAACAAATACCTGGAATAAGACATTGGTGCTGTTCTGGGCTGTGTTCTGTAGGACCACTGAGGTGTTCCCAGTGCAAGCAGACATACTATTGTTCCAGAGCGTGCCAGAGAGAAGACTGGTCAGCACACAGCATTGTGTGCAAACCTGTTCAGAAAAAGTAAGTGTGTGTGATTTTTTAATTCATTAGAGAGTATTAAAACATTTTTTTTCTCTCATAATGATCAAATGAGGTAAGCTGGACATAACTGCAGGATTTGTTACTTTTTACTTATTTAAATATTGAGATATATGACAGAGCATACAGATCTGAATTGAACAGCTCTACAAACTTAGAAGTTTTCAAGAATATGATTTTACTAGATAGTATATATTAAAATTAGAACCTTAAAAGAGTTTGTTTTTAATAATTAGGGCTTTAGAATGCCTTACTTTTAATCATACATACTTTTCCTGAATTTTAACAAAGTAGATCTCTTACAGTTCCTTTTGAATTGTGATTTTAAAATACATAAATGTTACTTGCATCATATTTACTAGTTTGTAAATAGTTTCACCTGTGTAACCTCATTTGCTCTTCAAAACTGTTTAGGTAATAAAACAATTATCTACATTTTACAGACAAGAAAACTGTGAGGCTGGGAGATGGTGCCCATCTCTCTAAGTAGGTGGCTTTTGGAAGTAGCACACCTGTGCACATGGTGGACATTGCATAACCAGCATTGAGTGATTTTACCTTGTTACTACTGTGATTCTCTCTGGAAGAAGCTGTTTTACTCTTTCTGAATTTTGTTGACTAAGAATTTAACATAATTGTAGCCCTTAGTATTATTTGGCTATATACTATAAGTATTATATAATCAGTTGCTTTATTTCAGTTTCCACAAACTTGAAGATAATAAATCATCTTCTGAAACAAAGAACATGGAAGTGAAAAGTGAGGTATGATATACTTATTCTTTGCCTTTAGAGTAAATTTTGATTTACTCCCCGTTACTGAATTGAGAAGACTTAAGCTAACTGAAGTACTTCTGATTTATTTGTACATTTCACCAGCATTTTATTTAAAAACAAAGTTGTACACCCTAGTTAGTGATCAATTTGGTGACTAGTGGGGG